CTTGGGAGAAGATAGAGGATACTGAAGCGTGCAGCCTGTGAAGAAGCCTTTCGCCTAGCCCAGCATTTCTTTTCGCGTCATTTGGAGAAAGCACAATCCACAAAAGCAAGGTGCACTTCTTTTTTTTTCTTTTTCTTTTTTTTTAATATATCATTAACTGTTATCTCATTCTTTGAATTTGTATAGTACATTAACAATATTTATATCGTTATTCATTTTTTAACGAATTTTTGGAAAGGGGATTAAGTTGGTTTCAGAAATAATACTCTAATATTATTGTTAATTTAGAAAGAGAAAACAATCTTTAAGTTATTCTGAAAAAAAAAAGTACACGAATGTCGGCGAAATAATTTTATAGGTATTTATGAACTTTCCTTCTTGCAAGTCAAAATGTCAAAAACACTTTTCTGATTTATTGACGGTTATGTGGCCCTTAGGAAAATAATTATGCAATAGGACAAATTTACCCTTACAAAAAAAAAAGAGAAATCACCTACTACCTTTTTGAGTTGGACAAATTGGTAAAAATATAATGTTTGACGTCATCCTCCTAAGCAATCCTTCAACTCCAAGCTTAGCTGGCCAACACGCTGGACGCTTATGTGGACCCATTAATTGATTTGTACTTATCACATTCCTAAATTAACCTTGACATTGCTTTTAAATTTATAAACTCATGCCACTATCTAAATTTTCTTTAGCTAAGCCAGATCTACATTTCAATTCTAGTCTTTTTAAAAAAAAATTTTTTTTTAAAGAAAAGATCTACATATCTAGGTGATTACCTCATGCCTATGCCAATTCTGCTCACAAATGGGTGCCATTTCCTTGGTAAAAGCTTTCAACATGATTACCATATCAATATGGACAATGACACCTTCAAAATTTCCAAACATGCCAATTTCAAAGTCAAACAAAACGCTTTCACCTTTTGAAGGATTATGATGTATTTTCAATGAAATATTATGGAAAACCCACAAGTCTGATCTTTATTTTCTTTGAGATGAAGAAGCGAACCCATGGGGTATTTGATGAGAACCCAGATCTAAGTTCTCACTGGGTTCTCAAAATCAAAATCTGGATATGGCTTCTTCGAAATCCATCTTTGAATCTTCAAAGGCCTCGTGTAGATCTCCTATTTCCTCCAAATCTTCCATCATTTTTAAAATTTTTTGTACAGTGCTTGCCATCGGTTCTTGAGATGCCCGAGTTGGGTTGAGGGGTTTTTAAAGGAAGAATAAAAAGCAGCTATGGAGCTGGAGTTGGTTTCGTAAGGAACAAGAAAAAAGCAACAGTGGAAACTGCTGGGTTTTGTTTGGGTGAAAAGAATGAAAGGTTGAGGAACTTTAGCCATTTGCAGGGACGATGAATGGGTTGATGAATAATTTGATATATATTTTTTTAATTTTTAATATTTTAATTATACTACAAATTTGATTAAGTAAAATGAAATTAACTTTTTAATTAAACAATCCAAGTTGAGTTATTTTTTTAAACTAATTGACTTAATTCATTTATTTCAATTTTAGTAATTGGGATTTAGGTTTCATTTATTTAACATAACTGAGTTAGTGCCAGTTTGTTGAAATTGAAATTTTTAATAAAAATCTTGTTATAAATACGGTCATAAAGGTGTTATTTTTATAAATAAAAAAATAAAAAACAAAAATAATACATTAATTTTATTAAAATTAACTTTCACATAAACATCAATTTAATAATTTAAAATTTTACAATAAAATAAAAAAGTTAATTTATAAAAAATTATAATATTTTTTATAAATTATAATATTTAATGTAATTTATACTTTTTAAAATAAATAAAATCTCTTCCACAAACTACACCCAACAAGGTCTCAATTTCCCTTCGGAAAGCGACATTAAAATAAGAAAAGGGGGAAAGGCGGCCTTTTTAGTAGGGCCCAAATGACATGGAGATGAAAAAAGAGGAGAAAGTGCCACGGTGGTGGAAAGGGGACCACTGTAAGCGTTCAGCGTGCAAAAGTTAGGCAGCTAAGTTTGGAGTTAGCATTTTGCTTACAGTGACGTGGCGTTATGGGTTAAATTTTAGGTAATTTATTTAATTGAAGAGGATTGTAAGGGTGATTTGTTTTTTTAATTTGAGAATAAATTTATGTCTCTTACAAAACTTTCGAGTAAATTTAGAAATTTTACCTTTAGCAATCTTACCTTAACAGCTAAACTTCACAAATTCCACTATTGAAATAAGGATCATATATTTGCCCCACATCATTTTAAAAATTGTGACAAGTCAATTAGTCCGTTGGAAACAATAAGATATCATGCCAACTTGATTTGATTAGGCATGCATGTCTACTTCTACCAATCCAACGTATTCTCTTTTTTCATCTTTCTTCTTTTTTTTTTCAAATATAGGAAATTTTGAGAGAAGGGATGAGAATTTTTAAGTAGTTAATTTGAGTCGAATTTCCAATCTTTTATTTTTAATTTTTAACTTAATTTGATTTAACCTATATAGATTTTGTATGTGTATACTCTTTACATACATTTTTATATTAATTTATTTAAAAATATAAATTTATTACTTTTAATTATTTTATATATTTTTATTAATTTTAATTAATATCATATAGACTTTTGAAATATTAAAAAACAATAAAACATACGGCTATAACATAATACAACACAATACCAATAAATAAAGTTATAATTTATTTAAACTGAGTTTAATATGATTGTGATTTTTAACCTTTTATTTTAATTTTTATAAATTTTGCAACTTTGGACAAAAAATTATTAGTAAGATTATTGAGAAAAAGAATAAAAATAATTTTATCACTATTAAACAAGTTTATATTTTTTTATTATCAGTGTTAAAACTTTTTTAAAATAAATTTTTAATTTTTAATAATTACTAAATTTATAAAAACCAAATAAATTAATAATTCATGTACTTCCACCATTAATTTCCAGCTCGAGTTGTTTTTCTCCTAAACACTTTTATTCTTATCCTTCTTTCATTTAACGCATAATTACCTTATATCCAACAATTTCATAAATGCAGGAACTCTCTAATGGACGCCATAGGACCAGTCATGGATATTGTGAAGGATGTTGTACCTACAGTTAAGAAATATGTCAAGTATCAGATATGTCACAACGATTATGTCAACAAATTCAAAGAAATGCAAACAAAGCTGGAGCACCGACGGCAAGACGTTGCGGCAGAACTGCGTGCTCAGCTTGTGCAGCCTAGGAAGATTGAAAAGCAGGAAGTTAAAGCTTGGTTAGAGGTAGCTGAACAAGAAACTGCAGAAAATGTGGTTGAAGATCTAATCTGCAAAGGGGGCTGTTTCACATATATTTGCTCCTCAAGAAAGCTCGACAAAAGGACTCAATCACTGAATGAAGAAATATTTAAGCAAGGAGAAAAATATATTAATGCTGGTGTGAGTTTGGTCGTAGATGATCACTCAATCAAAGGAGTTCCATTGCCCGTTGAATGCAGTGGCAGGGATGATATAAAACAACAAATTCTAGAATGGTTGAAAGGAGACCAAGTTACAAGAATTGCAGTTTGGGGGATGGGTGGTGTGGGTAAGACAACAATTATGAAGCAAGTCCACAACCAACTGTTGAAAGAATCCAAATTTAGAGTTATTTGGGTAAAAGTGTCAAAAGACTTTGACATTGTTGTGCAGCAAAAAAAGGAGTTTGATATTCTCAAGTTTCAAAAAAGGATTGCCAGTAGCTTGGAATTAAAACTAGAGCCAGAGGGTCATGAGAATGAAACCAAGATTGCAGGATTGATTTCACGAAGGTTGGGGCAGGGCAGCTTCGTGCTAATTCTGGATGATGTGTGGCAGCACTTTTGTCTAGAAGATGTTGGAATTCCTAATCTAGATGGAAATAATGGTTGCAAGTTAGTACTCACAACACGGTTACAAGATGTTGCTCGTGCAATGGAGTGTGAGGTGATCCCTGTGAATCCTCTTCCACCTGAAGAAGCATTAGCATTATTCTTGGAGAAAGTTGGAAGTGCAGTGTTGTTAGATGGCAGAATTAAAAGAGATATAGAGCCATTTTTGAAGCAACTTTTGCAAAAATGTGACGGAGTACCCCTTGCTATAGTGACAGTGGCAAGAACTATGAGAGGAAAATTGGATCCTCGTTCATGGAAGTGGGCACTTACTAAATTGAGCAAATTTGAAGGAATTATTGATCGTTTGAAATTCAGTTATGAAGGCCTAGAATCACAATGCCAGGAGTGTTTTCTATACTGTGCATTATATCCTGAAGATTATGAAATCCCAAGGGAGGAGTTAATTGAGTGTTGGATTGAGGAGGGGTTTATATATAAAGAAGGGGAAACTAGGGACACAATGAATTGTGAGGGTCATGTTATGCTTGAGAAGCTGGTTGATAACTGCTTGTTGGAATCGGTTGAAAATATAAACAAAGGAGAATGTGTGAGTATGCATGATCTTCTCCGAGAAATGGCACTGGAAATCAGTCCTCGATTCTTGGTGAAAGCTGGAATTGCCTTGGAAAAGCTACCAGAGGAGCATGAATGGAGAGAAGATCTTTTGAAGGTTTCTTTAATGCAGAATCACATAACAAAAATTCCTTCAAGCATGCCGTCTCCAAAGTGTCCTATGCTCACAACCTTGCTGTTGTCTAATAATCCGATTTCAACAATTCCAGAAGCTTTTTTTGAGCATATGCTTAGGCTCAAGATTCTTGATCTTTCCAATAATCAGGAGCTAAGTCGGCTGCCAACTTCTATTTCCAAATTGGAGAAGCTTACTACATTATTGCTATGGAATTGTGAGTCCTTAAGAGAGGTACCATCTTTATCCAACCTTGTAGGCTTAAAAAAGTTAGACCTTTGCTGGACATCAATTGAAGAACTACCCCAAGGCCTCAACATGTTAACAAATCTAAAATATCTTGGTCTTGGTGGAAGATTATTTGAAACACTTGATCAACCGCTACAAAATCTCTCCAAACTTCAGCATTTACTTGTAATTGCCAATCCCCATGCCGAAACAGAATTTAAATGGGAGACGATTGGAATTTGGGGGAAGCTTCAAAACCTTGAGAATCTGCATCTTTGTGAATTGTATAACTTGAATATGGTGTTTGGGGAAGTAGGAGCAATTGCTAAGTCAGCACCACTACCAGCTGGCACATTTTCCTCTCTTCAAGATATTAGTGTCTATAGATGTCATAAAATAAAGAAGTTATTCTCGGCAAAGTGGTTGGGATATCTCCAGAAACTACAGACTATTGAGATTTTTTATTGTAAGCAACTGGTGGAGATAATAGGATCTGAATCTGAAGGAGAAAAAGTCACTCTATCTAAGTTAAAAAATTTGAAATTGACCTCTTTGCACCAATTGAAGAGCATCTACAGTGGTTCTTTGATTTGTGATTCCATCAAGATTGAAATTTATAATTGCGACAATATAGAGAGTTTTTTTTGGTCAGGGCTTCCAAATCTTGAATATCTACACCTTGACTATTTAAAGAATTTGAAATCCTTGTTTGATGAAGAAGGTCTAGGTTTATCGCCACTTGTACCTCCCACAAGCTTTTTCTCTCTTAAAGAAATTAGGGTTTTTGACTGTGATCAATTAAAGAAGGTATTCTCATCTGGATGGCTGCTCCGCTACTTCCAATCTTTAGAGACTATTAAGGTTGATGAGTGTTCGCAAATAGAGGAGCTGATATCGTCATCAACACATGAAGAAGAAAAAGTCACTCTACCCCAGTTACGAGGCTTGAAATTGACAGGATTGCTCCAATTAAAAAGAGTCTATAGCGGTTCTTTGATTTGTGAATCCATCAAGAAGATTAAAATTTCAAATTGCGGAAATATAGAGAGTGTTTTTTGGTCAGGGTTCAACCCACTTCCAAATCTTGAATATCTACACCTTTCCAGTTTAGAGAAATTGAAATCTGTGTTTGATGAAGAAGGACTTGGTTTATTGCCACTTGTACCTCCCACAAGCTTTTTCTCTCTTAAAGAAATTAGCGTTTATAGGTGTGATCAATTAAAGAAGGTATTCTCATCTGGATGGCTGCTCCGCTACTTCCAATCTCTACAGACTATTGAGGTTCAATACTGTTCGCAAATGGAGGAGCTGATATCGTCATCGGCACATGAAGAAGACAAAGTCACTCTACCCAAGTTACAAAGCTTGAAATTGACAAGATTGCCCCAGTTGAAGAGCATCTACAGTAGCTCCCATGTGTTGATTTGTGATTCAATCCAGAGTCTGACGATTTCCAAGTGTGAAAAGCTAAAGAGGATTCCTTTGAATTTTCCCTTGCTTGATAATGCCCAATCATCTCATCCTCCTTCGCTCAAAGAAATTGTGGTATTCCCAAAAGAATGGTGGGAATCATTGGAATGGGACCATCCCAATGCAAAAGACATCCTTTTACCCTTGTGTAAATTTCAGGAGATTGATAGGTTTTAAGAGATTAAATGGTGGTAGGGCGCACCCCGCAAATGTAAGCCTTTTAATCTTTATTTTCCATTTCTGATTCAACTTAGTAGCAGTTTTCATCTTTATGCTTCCTTTTTCCATTCTTCCTATCTTAATAAATCTCTCTCTCTCTCTCATTTGCAGCAAAATTGGAAGGAAATCACTGTTGCATTTGTCGTTGTTGCTGTTGGGTTTTCAATTTAATATAAACTTACTATTCTTCACTTTTCTTTTTCTGTGTCTGTATGGTGTGTTTAAATGTGTCAAATTCTAAGTGGAAAACTGAAAATGTTTGTTTCTTTATTATCTGTGTAATGTTGTCTTTGAAACTATATGCCAAAAGGCTTGAAACTGTATTTACTTTTCTTGTGTAATATGAATTTCAGTTGATTGCATTCGCATGTCTCTTAAATTTAATTCAACAACATTATCATCATCAACAACAACCGAGATCGAGACTTACTTTCATCAACTATATCTGCACGCTCTATTACTTTCATCTTCTCAAAATCGCCAAAGATGGAATAGCATTCAGGTCAGAGTATACTCCTGTTCTTTTCTTTTCTTTATCTACCTATTTTCTGATTGCATGGTCTGAATATGTCTCATTAGCTAAAGTAAATTATTGGTTGAACACGATTATTTCAAAAGAGAGTTACTTAATGCTCATTCGTGGACGTTAGTAGGTTAACATTCATCTGTGGGCGGGCTGATGTTGCTGTGATAGAAAAGCATGCTGGTGATGAGGAGCTACTGGATCGCTACTTAACACGAAGCATATGTTGTTCCAATACATCATATTTGACACCTAATCCCATGTTGCAAATTACACTCTTAAAAGCAGAGCAGATTTTCTTGTGACGCATCAAATGATCAATTGTTATGTGGGGAAAAACGGTTCTTATGATTGTGTTTCCTTTTAATCAAGCATATTGGTGACGGCACCATATGTACTAGGGACATGGTAACACCTATTTTCTTTGAAATAATCAAAATTCAGTGTTGGTATCAGCAAGAGCTCAAATTTTTCTATTGAGAGCTCCAAAATCGAATGTCATGCTCACTATAATACTACTTTGAAGGAGAAGAAGCTGTCTGTGTCCCTTTTAAATGACCATAGGAAGGTATGAAATTTATAGTACTATTTTGCAATGGAAGACAACGACACACTGACCACTGCCGCGCCAAAGTAGTTGCGATTGTGTTTCATTACATTGGTGATCTGAGTAGGAAAGTGAAAGGGTTATGACCAGACAGTGTGTTTGACTTTGCTTAGGAATATATTGTGGATGCCTTTATATAGGGTTCAGTACAAAAACTGGAGTAGATGTAGAAAATGCATTTGAACAAGCTTGCCTTAAAGGTTCTCAAATCCTGGTACTTTATGGCATATTTGATGGCCTCATGTTTATTCAATACTACAACCCTTGTTACAAGTTTATGTGTTTTGTGGATGCAAAAGAAGTATAGAAGCTTATTGGATAATTTAATTGTTTATATATTCTAACATTATCTTGTTTTGATGTCTAAAATAGGTCGAACCATGCATTGGTGATTTCTATTATTTAAACTACTGGTTTTAGACTCAAGACTTTTTCGTTGTACATTTGACACTCTTTAATTTTACTGACATAGCCATGCATGAATGTGAATACATTCCTCAAATAGGATATGATTTGAAGTATACCCATTTTTACTTTCCTCATTTAAAAAATTTAATAGTATAACTATGAATCATCCATTGCTTGTTGTGTGTTGCCTGCTTCTTACCTTAGGGGCTTTACAAAAATCATGTTGCCACAGTTGTATGTGTATTGAGACAATTGCAGAGGGAACCTTTAGAGCTTTCTTTGTCCTTTTTAAGTAGTTTTCCCTAATTGGTATAGTTTGGCCATTCATTTCCAGCTCTTGCTGCGCTACCTCAAATTTGATTCCGAGTTTCAGTAGTCTCTATATTTGCTCTTAAAGATATCTGCTTTGGCCATGAAAAGATTGATCAGATTCTGAAGGTGACTACCTAGTTGGTTACATTTGAGTACTCTTGTTGGCTTCCTTGCTAACAGTGCTTAAAGGCTGTTGCACTAATGCAGTATTTTATTTGTGGTATTGGTACCGTATAAGATGTAAGAGCTTAGGAACTTTCTTTGTCTTTTTTCTTAGTTCTTTTGGTTTTGCCATTCATTTTCAGTCCTTGCTTTCTCGCCTCTTATTTGACACCTAGTTTCAATTTCACTGGTCTCAATGTGTGCCCTTTAAAGATATCTGCTTTGGCCATGAATAGATTAACTCGATTTCTGAAGGTTAATGCTTAGTTGATTACATTGAGTACTCTAGCTGTTTTTATTATATCAAATGCCTCTTTTCTTTTTTTTAGGTCAAAATGTAAGTGACTTGCTAATAGTGCTTAGATGCTGTCAATTTATTCTGATGCACTATTTTTTACCTATGGTATTTGAGAAAGTAAATGATGTTACACAGCTGGAAACATTTGCAAATCTATCAAGAAGTTTGTTAGAAACAAAGTTGATAATGTATTTGATTCAAGATGTAGTGAATTTTTCCCTTTAGTTTGACCAACGTTTGTATCCAAGTTTCATTTTGCTTCAGTTAGCAGCAATTTAATTTCTAGTTCATTTGAAACTTTCTCATGGGCCTATTTGATGCATGGGATTATTTGATGCATGGGATTTAATCATCATTGATCTTTAACAGGAAAGTGAACGGATTTTCAAAAGGAAAGGATGGATCTGGAATATGGATGCCTCTTCGTAGAGTGCGGTGCACAAACTCAAGTGAATGAAGAACAATGCTATGACGAGCTTTGTCTTAAGGGTAACTAATTGAAGTCTGTGTACTTTCTTTCACAATCAATAACCTTATGTTTTTATTAGATAATCTTGCCTTGAGACAAGTTTATGTGTTTGGTTGGATGCATGAGAAATAGGGAAGCTAATTAAAGCATCTGATTTTGATAATCTAGTTGTTGATATACTGGTATACTCTTGTTCCTGTTTTACTTCTGAGACTTCAATTGATGCTGTGTAACGGTTTGCATAATCCTAGATAAGGTGCTGATTTTTTCTGTTGCGAACTTACCTCGGACAAATTGCAAAAAGTGCATTTTGGTTGATGTGTATAATTGAAGGGAAATGTGCTGTGTTCTAATATGATTAAAAATCATCAAACATTGCCTATGTAATTATTTTGATCATGTAAATAACTATTTTTGATATCCAAGTGTTGGGACTCATATAACTGCTAATATCACTGAATCATTTGATCCATAATAAAATTTGCTATAATCTTTCTGCCTTTTTAGGTGCATGGATAGAGTATCACTTGTCTCTGGCATCTGGCCATTTGGGTTACCTTTTAGTGGTTGTGGGTGAGACTTTATGTTAATTAAACTCATCAAAATGAGTTTTAAATTTCTATTTTTTAATGTGCAGAGATAATCTAGGGTTGAGATTGAAAGATTACTGCCTTCATGGCTAGAATTTGATGCTTTGAACTGTGGTTGTCTACCAGATTACTGCACAGCTATTTGTCGATAAATTGAGGTACGGCACGATGCGGCCTGAGGTTGGATTGTTTTCATCATCACCAAGTCCTTCCATTTTCAAACATGTGAAAGGAAATTAATTACAAATGCCCCGCCACAATTCATCAATGCTCTTTCTATGTTAAAAGTTCTTAATTTGCATAATATAATCTAGGAGTTTATTTTAAGGAATCAACACCTTGACTAAGGTTATTAAATTTTAAACTCAAATTATTAAATCCTAGAACCATGTACTGACAGGAAGAATCATACATATCATGCCCAATCATTTTGCATGAACAAATTAAATCTAACATTTGAATTCTATTGTCTCACAGATAAGAGTCATTTTTATAGAAATACAAAAAAATACTTTCCGCTGTAGAAGTTATTATAATGCGTGGTAAAGTACTTAGTTGAAATTGACCAAATCCCAAGTCCTTAAACTGGATTCAGGAAGATTAAAAGTCAGATACCTCTTGAAGGAAACCAAAACTTGATTTCAGAGGTGGTACGTTCTCCAGATAAATTGGAAATAAGAGGATCTCCCCCAGGACTGGAGGTTAAATACACTGTCTTTGAATTCTATTGCCTTGTAGATACAAGATTCCTACAAAATTTTACAAGATATAAGAAAGTACTTCCTGCTGCAAAATTTGTTTGAAGACGTGATAAAGTGCTAAAAAATGTATGAAAGTTATTGTAAAGTATCAATATTAAACATTTCTTTTACAGCTCGCCACAGCTGGTAAACGAAATGTTTTACATCTGTCTATGTTGCCCATACATCAAATAATAGCATTGCTTATATTTTATTATCTCGTACCCTTAAAACTTCAATACACATTATCTGTCTAGTTTGCTGCGCTATCTACAAAAGAGAAAATCTGACCCAATATTAATTTTATATCAATATAAACTGTGATTTTATACCATCGAAAGCACATACTAAATGGAATATAAGTAGTGGACTGCAAAAGCCTTAATTAAAAAATTCGAATACTTATGTTATAAAAAAATCACTTAATTAAATTTTCTTCAAAGTTCAAACATTTCTACATCTGTTTATGATATTACCATCAAGAATTTGATGTTAGTATATTACAAAACACCAATTATGGAATGGCAGACCTCTCCTTTATTATTAGGAAGTCTCTTTTAATATAATGGTTAATGTTTTGTAATTTGATATAATGTTAAATTTATAAAATACTGTTTTATACTACTAATTACAATTTCATTTTTAACCGTCTGAGTTAAGTTATTATATATTAAGTTTTTATATCCAGTTGAACAAGAAGAATGCATTGGAAAACAAGAAAAATATGAAAGAGCAATGAACAAAATTAGTTCCATAAATACCGTGTATATATAAGGGCATGACGTCCTCCCGTGCCTGTTCTCGACTTCTTCTAGCTTCACTAACCTGCACACACCATTTTTTCTTGCTTTTATTTTTTTAGTACACTGACTAGTTAGCTTCTTAGTACTACAAAGATTTAAATTTTTAATCATAACTCAAAATTAAAAATTTTAAATTAATAAATACCAATTCAACTAAATTCTTATTAATCTTACTTTTATCAGCCTTGTCAGCATCATCGGCCTCGAATTAAACTAAATTTGGTAAGTATTTTTGATCAGCGACAATGGATTTTCCTAGTTGTTTGACCAAAGTTGGTATCCTGCCATCACCGTTGATCAGTCATAAGTAATTGAGGTCAATAAAGCGTCTCCATAGTATGTAACTAAACACATCCATTTGGCCCAAATTACGACCAAACATATTTGGGTTTGGAATAATTTGGCCCAAATGCAACAGAACCCAGCAATATGATTAGATTTGAATGCATCCCACCTGTCAAATTTTTCCGATTCCAACGGTTGGGATGATCGAACCATTTCGTGACAGTGTCCCAATGAAATTGCCACATCATGTGACATGTCAGAGGTTCAGATACAGATGAGAGAGAGTACATTCTAAGGCCTTCACTTGTGTCACTGCCATCACCGAGAACTCAATTGACAAATCGTCACTTCAGAGAAGCCCTCGCTCAACCTATATTAGGATAAAAATTAGTAAAAGAAAGTAAGGGGAGGGGAAGAGAAGGACAGGGAGAAGAAATGAAGGAAAAAAACAAAAAGTACATATTAATTTTGTTTGGATAAATAAAAATGAAAAAAAAAATATTTTTATTTAATTAAATAATTTAATAAAAAAAATAAAATTTTTAAAATTTATTAATTAAAT